TATACATAATGAATGCAGCCTTATTAGACACCCCTTTTTGCTTTCAGTCTGAACCAACAACATCAAGAACTACTTTGAGCAGAAGTAAAAGCCAAAGCTCAGTACAGAAGAAAACAGCAGGCAAACCGACAATCAATGATACAAAAACAAATCCCAAGCATCACAGAAGATCCTGCATTGCTGCACCAAGCACATTAACTACAGACACAGCTTCAACACTTACAAATAACCCCACAGATTCTACTGTCAAGGCTGTGCAGAAGAAAAAGAGAAGGTCATGCATTGAGGGATTGGCGACAGGCAGCGTCATGGCAGGAGCTGCACAAAAATCACACAAGCAAAAGAGGCGGTCTTGCTTTGCTGCGCCACGAGAAATGACCCAGGCTAATAGTGAAGTCGATGATGAACTCAAGAGTCTTATTGCTAGGCACAACCAAAGACTTGCTATGCTTAAATAAATATATTATATGTGTGGTGGACTTGTGGGGTCGATATGTATAGAATAATGACGAGCCTCATTGATACAGGTCTACAGGTATATGTGGACATTCAATTTGATAGAAACAAAAGTCAATTGAAAAATAAATGGGTTTCAATTGGTGACAGAAAAAACCCGTACATTATCATAAAGCAGTTTACTATGTCTGATATTAGTCAGATATGTGTGGGATGGACTCAAATTTACTTTATACATGCTCAGCCTCCTTTTGTCGTCAAAATTCCCTTGCTAAATTTAGAATAAAATTAGACTTAATCCACTGTTAATGTTATGAAATTAGTCAACATACGTCAGTTGGATTAAATAATGTAAATATGTGATTTAAAGAAAGTTTTTATCAACTTGAACATTTACTTCATATTTTCTCAACTGATYGTGCAAGGTTATTTAACGAAAATAAGTGGGCAGAAAAAATATATYTTAATTMAGGCACCTTACAATGAACTACTTCTTTGGGAAAAAAAACAAACGATCAAATGACTACAACATTGATTTTGCTTTATTTACTATCAATTTCATTGYAATATTATGAATTACTTTTATACAAATTATTATTTCAATCAATTCCCAAGTCTATTTTTTCCCAGCAATCTCCTTCGTCTAGGTTTYCGTTTGGGAGGTTGTGGTGCATTTTCCTCCGTCCTAAGCATTCCTTTTGCCATATATTCCTGAGTTTCTGGAAAACTAAGGTTCCAAAACCCAGGGGGAGTTGATGGTGGCGGTGAATGCTTTGCACGATGACGTGAGCAGTTTTTTAGACGTTTCTTCAGCTCTTCTTCGTTAAGATTTAGAGAACCATAATACTGTAGAAAGGTTATCAATATTTAGATTAAATTAGAATAATCTTGGTAGCTATAATAATCCACACATTAAGTTATAGAGTAATTTAATGTATATTTTATGCTATAAATCAACTGTTTACATAAACTCAAATGCATTCTCAAATGCTACCGGTGGTACAGTACTGATCAAACACTTGTCACCTCCTGTTTTTGTCATCATGAGGAGTAAAAACAATAGTAAATAAACATTCAACTTTGCCTCAGTAGTCACAGACAAAAGAATTAAGATGAAGCGCTGTGCATAAAGCTCAGTCATCCTTAAAGACACATGTAGTTTTCAATATACAGCTATTTCAAAAAACGTTGTCGGGAGAACAACAAACGGCGATTGTCGAAGGGAGATTGCACGACCGAAAGGGACTATGGTTACACTGTTTTGATGAACAAAATTTCACTTATTGGATTCGCCTTACATAGAAATGGAGACTAAATTGAGCCAATGTTAACCACAGTCTATCTTACAGCACAAATCAGTTATTATTTTCTATCAATTAGCAAAACCCATGGCTCCTTTCGGTCGTACAATCTCCGTTCGACAATTGACATTCGCCATTTTATCCGACAACCTTTTTTGAAATAGCTATATATTGGCCTAAACTTTTGCATGGCATGCCACACCTCATCATTCTTTTGTGTTAGACTACTAAGGAGAAGTTTGCAAATCAGCTATATAATAATATAATTATTGCTAATACTACCTCAGCACAGTCACGACAAGAAAACCCTTTGAGTTTCAAACGTTCATCTTTTTTTCTTATAACTTCAATGTTCTTATAAGTTGGTTCATCTGGTTTCCTGGAGTTTCAAATGTTCATTAATTTATTATTAATAAAATAATAACCAATGATAATTATTCATTCAATAATAAGGGATTAATTGTATAAGTTTATACTGCAATCTTGAACAAAGAGCAGGTTTCTTGTAARACAAAACACATCACTTTCGAGCAGTAATTGTGCTGTGCTGTAACATTTATGTCTTTTTAGAGAGGATTTCGTATGAGTGGGAAAGGGACGGTACTGTACTGTGACCAAGATCGTACTGTAACCAAATTCTAGTGCCCCATTGGTTCACCAAAATTGTGAAGGCCAGGTCCGGTAACTGTGTGGTAACTGTAGGTGTTGAGTGTCCTTCACCTCTGTATTTATTTTGGGCTTCCTGTGCTTTCTCAAGGAACAGGAAACCCAGAACGAACACTGATGCGAAGGAGACTAGTAGGTGTTGGGAAATAAGAAGAAAGGCGCAAAGATGCCCAACTGCTTTATATGATTGGCAAAGTCAACCACAGGCAGTCCATCCTTTTTTGTTTTTATCAGATCCAATGCAAAAGTATATGGCCATGTATAAAAATGTGAATAAGAATCAATCATTTTTTTGCAATTTATGAATACCTGAATCCAGGAAAATCGTCAGCAAAGTCATWATTTAGATATTCAGAACTCTTGCTTTTTGACTTTTCCTTGAATTCCTGGCCAGATAAAAAAAAGTTATTAAAAAGAATTTTAATAAAAATAAATGTAATAAAAATTTTACTCTAGCCCTGTAGTGGACGTTAAAGAACCACTGAGGACGCAGGTATGACCATCCAAAGTGTCTGTATTTAGCCGACATAACCTTGAGGGTACTAATGCACACAATGCACTAACAAATCTAACGTACTCATGTTTGTAAACTGCACAGCTGCTTAAAGCGCCTTCAATAGCAGCCTGTCCAAGTCCCTCACTAACTATGCAATCCAGATGCAATTCAGACCATTGGTCTGCGAAATCTGGAAAGGTGCCCACATCTATCTCTATCTCTAGCAAGCGTCACACAATGTTGTTCTATGTATTGATTTGAGTATTCTTAAAATTCCAGTACATTCTGAGGAATAGCCTCAAATCTATGTGTAAACTGATTGTTTATTTTATTGTTTTCTATTAGGAACAAGACTATTCCCACCTGTACTGAAATTTTAAGATCAATAGTCAATAATAAAAATAATAGTTATTTGTACCTAAAGTGATCTTATTTGGTGACATAAGTTACTATTACTCAACATTCATAGTAACAAAACACATATTGCACACATTTAAAAGAGTTCAAAGACACATCTAGTGCCCTTGTAACGAGAGTTCACTAMTACCTTATCTGTTTCAATCTTTGATGAAGAAGCAACAGCTGAWCTGTTTTTCTCAACTGCATCATCTATCTTGTGTTTGGTACTTTCATGTGATGAATCTTTATCTAAATTCCAATATTGTACAATCATAACATGACATGAAAGGTATTATAATCATAAGCAAATGTCACAATAAAGGTTAGGTTGTGTGTTTTTTTTTAATATTTATAAAACCCTGAACTTCACTATGTGTTTACCTGATGAATWATTATTAATGAATTTGATAAATATTTAAATCTTAAGCTGTACCATTTSTATGGTGTTTCGAAAGCAATCTTTCATCTTCACCAAACATGTCCACACTGGAACCATCTTTAGCATTATCTTCTTCATCAGAGCTCAGYAAAACAACGCTGCATCCTTGGCCAGTATCCATCCGCTGTCTCTTTGCCTCAGCTGTGCCACTTGAATTTTTAGACAACCTTTTCTTGTCTTGTGTTTGTTTACTATTTAATGATGAAAAAGGTCTAACATCTTGAGGTAGAATTGAAGGTGAACTCCTTTCTTCTTCATTTGTTTGTGTATTTGTGAAGTTTTTTGACTTCTCAACATTCCGTATACATGATGGTTGTTGCTCATTCTTTTGATTAACTTTATTGAAGTCTTTGATAACTATTCTAAGATTGTTCTTAAAATTACTACTACTACTTTCACGTTTCTTTGAATTTTTTGGAGCTCTTAATTCCTTGGAAAGCTTACTGGGAGGAGCACTGTCTTTAACAATCATACTAAAATCAGGAAAATCAATYGGATGAGAAGAGACTGTKGTTTGTGTTGATGAGAAYACAGGTGTACTKGTTAACGACGGGCAACCAAAACCCTCAACATTTGTYWCATCATTATCAACATCATTCTGAATTTCTCTAGGAATATTCTCGTCACTTTTGGACAAAGAAGAGCTAGAACTTCTCTGTGAAAGAGATGTTTTAGCTTCTGTAGGATTTTCATCTTTGCTATTATTTCCTTGTTGATGTTCTATATTTTTTCTGGTTTTTGAATCCATCTGATCAGGTGACACATCTTCGTATCTGAATTTCTTTTTGCCATCTTTGGTTGTAGAGAGTTTTTTCAATGAAAGTGTTTTCTTTGTTTGGTCGTCCTGTGAGCTCACRGTCTCAGTGCTGGAATCATCTTCCCTGAAAAAGAAATTCCTCACTTAAAATTCATCATTAAACCTTTTGTACAATTGCACAAATTATTGGCTGTTTCAAGAAGAAAACAGCCAGAAGACCAAACATCACCTAACGTAAATTGAAAATTTGTATTGTCTTAGATTGGAGCTCGGCATTGMCAAAACCATCAAGTTTTGCTCAAAACATTCTTATTACACTTTTTCATAAAAAAATTATGCAATCAAAGCAGATCTAATCCAACCGAATATTTCCACAGGAAGCCCAATATTTTGGGATATTTTTATGATCTTCCTGCGAGTAAACTACTTTAATTTTCACCACAGGAAACCCAACAATCTGGGTCAAATGCATGTACTCACATGATATCAACAAGGTCCCTGCTAACTTCATGCAAGACATCAGGTGAAAATGTTCCAAGTGTCCTTAACTCTGCAAAGGCACAATTATTATAGTATATGTGAGTCAATAAAAATGATTTTTAAATTTGGTATTCAGCTTTTGAGTAAAAACACTTTTTTTTATTACAATAAGCTGACTTACTTTTCATTGTAGTTTCCGCTGTRAGTCGGTATCTATCCCACCATTTTTCCTTTTTGTTTATTTCTTCTTTTTTTCTAAATATACAATAGTTGCAGCGGGATTAGGATATGAAAGTTAATTATTAACAACTATCACCTTGAGTATWTTAATGTCCACAAGACAACAGCAAAAATCCATAGGCAATAATAATAATAAATACAAATTAAATCGTCTTACCTTTTTAGTTTGTCATGCAACCGACCATATTTCTCCTTGAGTTCTTTCAAAGTTTTGACCATACTTGAATCAAAAATAATACTTTAACATTGATATTAAAGTATAAAACAATGAATTATCTTTTGAAAAAACAGGTTAACAGATGGTGTGTAATGGCAAGAAAAGTGAACAAATGAACAATGTGAGTGGATGATTACAAGAACGAATGAAAAATGAGATATGAAACTGGAGGAAAGGAATCAGACAGTTGAATGAACAATAGAAGAAGAAATACAGTGACAGGGGAATAAATGGATTAAAAAAAATTAAAAAGATGGGATTTCTTTCTTCTTCTTTTTTCTTGATTTGAATACCTGGAGTTATCATCTTTGAGTTCTTTTATATTTCTGCAAAGTTCTTCATTCTTCTCTTTCAAATAATTTGCCTTAGACTTTTCTTGGTTTATCTCATCTTTTAGTCCTACAAGGCSAGCAAAATAAAAACTAATAAGCTTAAGCTTATAATAACTTTCGAAACAGCCATCAAGATTCAAAAATCGGTTTGCAAGTGTTTTTTTTTTTCAACAAACACAAAGGCCAGATTTATGTGTCTCCAGTCTCGCTTTCTATTCCTTGAGAATGTTAGCGATTTTGTAGGTCTCCAAGACGAATAGTTTAACTCCTAAGCTGAAGTTTGTGACTGACTGTGTCTCTGAACTAAAATGTGTCGTGATAATATCGCTAGTGGTCTCTCTTATACACATAGCTTTTGGGCATAAATTCACTTTTAACCAACCTTTTATATCACTATGAATAGCTTCTTTAAGCTGATGAACAAGTTCGAGACTTTCCATTATAAATCACGACAAGAAATACAACTAAACACGAGCTAAAATTCAGTAAATTCAACATTCCCGCCATCGCGCCATTTTGTTTTCCATCGACTCCAGTCCCACTTACCCAGAGTCCTTTGCACACCAACCAAAACATTATACCAAAACATTCGAGAATACTTGATCGGTTGATGAGGTTTTGAGATAAAAATTATTGAATTCGATAGGTTTTGATGCGGAGATATGATCGAGGAACAATATGTATGTGATCGATCACGCCGYGCTGAAGAAAGAAAGAAAGGTTTACCAGATAAACCGCCAAACTCGACGTTGCCAAGGCATCGGAGCGACGATCACAAGGTATAAAACAGCTGTTAATGTAACATTCCTGCAGTACTCCAATCAAACCGTTGTCTTATCTATTGAATGACAAATCTTAAAAGAAATAATGTAGTATGTCAGATAAGTGAGGTCTAAAGCTTTGACCTGAAAAATGTATCGCAAGAATTATTCAAATCTTCTTGCCCTCATCCAAGTCTCGAAGGTCGTATAGGCCAAGTCAGTTTGTGTACACTTTGTCTCTCCATGATTTAGTTTGATTGACAGGTTCAATGAATGATTGACCAATCAGTCAGTGTGTTTGACTGGTTGATGAATAAGACGTTAATGGTTTTTTTTTGGTTTAATTAAAAGGAATACTTCAAATAAAATACAAAAAGAAAACATCAAAAATAACTAATTCCAGTCTACTAGCTAAAATGACGGGGTTGTTTTTTGTTTCCTCTAAGTTGAAATTTAATCATTGTCACATCTGACATCTCACACTGACAGGTGCCTTTTAGGGGTCATTTTGTGACGAGGGTACACAAGATCATACCCAGGTGCAGTAGCCTGAGTTTCATCCAGCATTTAGCAGTAAACACCAAGAATAAACCATATGTGAGGGAGTTTGGTGTAATTTGAATCTAAATTTTAACATCCACTTCAATTTCAGTCACCCAAGACACAGTTTATGTACAGTCAGGTTGGCAGGGCTGTCATCAAGAARCATACTTACCTCACCCCAGTAACACATGCTACCTATCCCTGGAATTACCACCACCCCCAAGGGAGAAAGAATGCTTTTAAAATGCCCAAGACASTTTATCCAAAACAATAAGAAACAATAACATACAGATGTGTTTCAAGGAAGACATGATTTCTGGTTGCAAAGCATGCAGGAATCCTTAGGAAATGCAGGGACAGTATTATGTTGGTCATGGTTGTTCCCAAAGATGAGCTATCACTCATGTGGCATTCATTACTTGGAGAGAATGCTTTTGATAAACTGTCCACAATATTCAACACTTATCCAAGCTCAGGATAACAATCTCAAACAAAAGGGATTCATATTGTGTAATTTTGAAGAAAACTGGAATATACTATTTTTGCATTACAATGGTTTGCTCCCCTAATACTCCAATTTCGAGTTCTGGTTTGCTCTGTGTTAGCCTCAAAACCAAGTAACATATTCTTTTGTTTCATTGATAGCTCGAGAAAACGCATGGGATTTTGTGAAGACAATAAATTTGATTTGAAATCTCACACTTTTACGCTCACAATAAAGAGTATTTTGTGCACAAATGAGGCTAACACAGAGCATTGGAGAATTCGAAACTGGAGCATTGGAGATAAAACCATAGCATATATTTATTACAAACTATGAACATATTGTAGGAACAGACATACAGCTTCATTTGATATTTTATTGAACTTTATTTAATATTTATTAACAATACCTAGACTCCTCACAGCTGTTTTCAGTGTTCTCCTTAATCCTCCCCTACCACATAGGAAAGGATGACATGATGACTTTGTGGAGTCCACAATTTACCTTGCAGTAAATTGAATTAATTTATCTTTACAAATAAACTCTTCCAAATCTTTTTTAATATATATACAATATTATTATTAACTGTAATCCCTAAGTGAGGATTTCATTTTCTATTCCTCCTGGCATTCCTTTATGATCCTTAAAATACACATTCTTCTACGGGGGAAAAAATATGAGCCACTCTTTAGACAATGTCTACAGACAATGTMCAATCAAATTTTCAGTTTGACCAATCAAATATTAAGGTAAAAGAAGCTTTGAATGGCTAAACTACATGTAAAGCTTCACTGGTCTTTGCCCACTCTGTWTTATTTTTCCTGSAACAACAATTGTCTGTGACTAAATGATATTAACTGGTCAAGCAAACATTTTATGAGTGAGAAACTATGACACTTCTTGATCACGATTGTCCCTTTTCTAATTCAACTTTTTGCTTCAAAGGTGTCAATGCTAGGGAAGGGTGTCTCTGCCACGATCCCTCCTAATTATGCTCTAAAATATACACAATTGGCACTACACCAGCAGCACTAACTCCTGGTATATATGCACCCAATTATTTGCGTACATGTTGTCCTGGCATTTAGGATTAAAAGACAAAAAATGACACTTAGCTTCACCTTTTCTATGAGTCTACAAAATAATAATTCCTAAATACATTTAATATTGCGCTGCAGAAGTTATTTTTCTTGGGCAACATTTTTGAAATTATATGTACAGCAAATGAATATAATTTGATAGAAAATGTTTGAAGAATTTGCAAGGGATAGATTAATTATTGTGTTCAATTCTTCTAAGCRTTAGGAGCTGATTTTAGTTTTGTTTTGACAGCTGTCTCTAGTTTGTCTAGTAGTGATGGTGGAACTATGATTTGGTTGAAAAACCCTTCTTCGCTTTCCTCTGTGCATTCACGTTGTCCTTCAGCAAGGGGTGTCTCTAAGATAATCTAAAATAAYAGCAATTATATA